CAAAGATGATTTGTAAACAATGAAGAAGGAGCATTTGCCACCCTGCCATGTCTGACAGTGTAAAAAACCAAGGCCACGTTTCCTGTGGTTGACACACAGCTATCCTTTAAAGTGTCAGCTGTATCTTTATGCAAAGGTGCAAGAAAATGTTTTATTGAGAGCTGGATTTGGCTTCTCGTTAACTCTCAGGGTTTTGCTGGCTCCTTAGGACATTCAGTAGAACAACGCCCTTCTTGTCAGGATGCTTCCTTCTCAAAAGGGACAGTAAAATCACAGCATCTCTTGCGAATTCAAAATGCTGATTAAAAAAACTATTTTTATTTTATTCTAATTTATGTTCTCAGGGTTTTCAACGTTTTTGACACCTTCAGCATTAAATCAGAGGCTGAATACTGTAATTTTTCCTGTTTTCCCAGTAAGAACTTGGTTGCTGATTAAAGTATTTGGCAGGGAGTGGGCAAAAATTAATGCATTAACAACCTAACAATGAAATCAAAGTGAATTAGAGTAGCATTATCTAAAATAAATTATATTTTGTTAGTACTGTATAATGTTCTTTTAACTGATGACAATGATTTATTTCTACTTAGATAAATGATGAAACTAATCAGTGAATTGCTGGATGGATGCTTTGTTAAATTAGTCCCATATTCAATTGGGAGTCTTTATTGCTTTGTGTGCTTATTTGTCATTGAAATCGCAGGGGGATGTGCAGGTTCTTCTTTCGTTTACATGAATGTGAACTAGAACATCACTGATTATCAGTGGCATTTCATTGTTTTAAACCAGGGAAAATGAGACAATGGAGTCTTTCCATCTTTGGTTTTGTTTGGAGATGCCTTTTAAAAACCACCTTATAAAATACTTTAAAAAATTATTTCAAACTTACTTTTAAAGGGAATTCATCCCACTTATTTCCAGTATGCAAGGCATTTTTAGTTAACAGTATTTGCAAATTCTGTGGTAATGGTTGCTTAAAAATGGGGATGAGTTGGTCATTTATTTTTACTTTATTACACTAGATGAATTGATGCTGCACTGTTTTTTCTAGTCCACCCACAAGACTCCGGCTGTTCATTAAAATTTTATGAATGAAGAAAATAACAAATTTGTTGACAATGAAAATAACAGGGTTTCAGGAAGCTAATATTAATGGAAATGCTTTTATTACAACTTTACAGTCCAAAGCCAGCATTTGTTAGGCCAGCTTACAATGCTAAGGAGAGAACCAACTGAGCTTGTTGTGAGCATTGAGCATAAATGACAGCTGGGTCCCCACAATGTGAGAATTTAAATGCTGTTAACTATGAACTGACAATTTGCCTAGCAAAGAATGATGCTGTGGGAGGTAGAGAAGGAAAGCATGAGAAGGTTTTTGTAAGTCCTGTGAAACATATTTTGCTGGTAATAGAAACCTAGAAGCAAACTTGGGTTTACTATATAGTATTATCTCCAAATAGCACCATCATCTCAAAAATATAACACTCTTGGTTGAAAATTGCCTCTCACTGAAGTTAAAAGTAATGCCTGAGTCTATTTTACAAAAACAGTAAAACCGGTTTAATTCTGGAGCAAGTTGTAGCGATCTTCTAACCCTTCAACCTCAATGTAACATTTGAAAAATATGGAAACAGATCACCCACACCATGAAGATCACATAAGATCACTTGGCATGAGGAAACAAGTCATTTTGGGACTCCATCTTCAAAGTTTTTTACACTTAAGAGGAAAAAAATAACTCCAGGTTTTGATAATTAATTAAATATTAAATTCCACCTTAAATCCACAGTGCATACCCTGACAAGCTAGCAGTAGGAACAGCTAGAGAGGATGCAAGGAAACATCTTGAAAGCCCAGTAGTTACGTGGAAAGCTAGTAACAAGCCAAGTAATTCTGCTACATGCTAGGGCTGGAACTACCTTTTGGTTAATTGGGTTGCAATTTTGCTTAAGCTTTTTGCGCCTCCTATTTTGGTCATCCCAAAGGAAGGAGTAAGGTGAATGCTTATGGGGAGTCACAGAATGAAGCCTGCAGCATTTTAGCTTTGAAGAGCCTCTAAGTGCCTTTATCCATGCTACCTGTCCCATGAGCATCCTTTGGATGTGGAGGGGAACATCCCTCAGCCATCCCACTAACGATGCCATCACACTAATGTCCTGCAGCGGGTTGGGTGTGCTGCTGCTGCCTAGATTACAGGACGGTGAATTCCTAACAAACTTCAAAGCTCAGGAGCCTGTTCCTTTGAAAGAGGGAAAAGAGAAATGCCTTCTGTGGAGAGAAAAAGGAGCCATATGTTTCATAGTCGCTTATGGGCAACACTTGTGATTAAGACTTGTATGATTTGTGTATGACCAGGCAGTTTGTTTGGACAAAGAAGCTCAGGGCAGAGTTCCTGGAATGACCCTGCAGTCTCAGCGATAATACAGATCAGTGATTTAAATGTCTGAAGAAAAGTCATGTGCAAGATAACAAATGCAGGTTTCTCCCAGGTCATCCTACGCAATCACTCTTCATTAAGCTCAAAGCAGCTGAAATCTCGCTAAGCAGCAGGGACACTTAATCCTTAGGCCTTTACACTGCCCCCACCCCACCGCCTGCCCCACCCTGTTACGGTACTGGAACTAGGTCTTTTGCAAAATGTCTGTAGTGAGTTTGTACATGGTCTTCTGGAAAATGCATCCATTGAACATTTTAAGCTAAATGGTAGAATGTAAACTCTGTCTGATATCTGTGCCATGTCCTGCATTTTTGGTAGTTTGATGGGGGAGGCAGAAGGTTCTGTGGGCTCTTCTGGTGGCTTTTCACAGAGAGCTGTGTTCAGCCTGGTTTTCCTCCTATGTCCATAGAGTGAATGGATTTCTTCGCCGGTTAGGCAGAGGGACAACACGGTGGTGATTTTATACTTTCCTTTGGCTCCTTCAAATCACCCTGGCAGCCCTGATCTTGTTCTTTTGTTTCTTTGACTCTCGGAAGGACAAGAGTTTCAAAGCTTCACATGCTTTTTGGAAACAAAAGCATGTATGCAAATGACAACTAATATTATCGTCTTTGAGTGTAACAGGATATAAGCCTCCCTTGAAGGACAGCAAGTCATCTCAAGTAATATCAAAGGCTGTTTGCAACTCACAGAATTTTGAAGCATTTAGTAGCTCCTAAATGTTTATTTTGGGGGTCTGAAGCCACTCAACATGTGCTAAAGCCCCAGAATTTATATGACAGAGTGTCCACAACCTGGAAAAACAAGAGTTAATGGCTGCTGCCTTTGTCTGTGATTTGTCAGCTTTGCCTTATAGTATAACTTGCTGTCTTGGAGGGAGCTGTGGTATATCTTGAATAAGAAAGGTACTGCTATTTATAAAACGTATCTCTTCTACATTTCCTCTGATTCCCATCCCCCCACTCCTCCTTTACTGAGTATGTGAGCTCTCATTTGGTCAGGGTCACCTCAGAGATGAGATGTCCTTTGAATTTCAAGATATGCTCCTAGTTCAATAACTGTGTAAATTAAAAAATGTTCTTGAGAAGGCAGATGCAGGACAAGAATGCAGTTGCATACTTAGTATTGCTCCGCTGTGCTGGTTCCTAACGGTGGCCAGGCCTCCAGAAACTAAAATTTATTTTTCTGCATTAGCATATCTTAATCCAGCGCTAGGATAAGCAAAATGCTTTAATGTTTTTGATTAGAAAGCAGGTTGTGGCTTTATCCTAGCTGAATGGAATCTAGTTTGCTGAGAAAAGAAGATAAAGCCAATAAATCTCAGGAAGTAAAGAAATAAGACATTAGAAATAAGTCCTAACAAATACAGAGTTTGTGCTGTAATGCTGGGTCTGTTTCCTGGACCATGTACAACATCGCAATGGCTGGTGAATACATGACGCAATGTTAGACATTGGTCTGTACATGTAGGTGAGACAAGTGCTGCCGCCCTTCTGCCTTGTCCTCCTGGAGAGGAGAATTGTTTTGTGATGCTGCATCCTGTCGCCGTGGCATTTGCATTCTTGGAGGCTCATGCAGCAACTTCTGTCTCTGCTGCAAAGTCAGGTTTTGACAGGTTTGATAAATAAAAAATCCCTGCACAATTTTTGGCATGAGGACAATATTAACTCTTGTATTGCAGGCAAATTCCGTTCTATAACTAAATCACACTGCTTTAAATTCACATGTCTTTTCACTAACTTTTAATTTTCTGGGCTGACATGATGCAGTGTGCTGTTTAAATGACTGTCCCGACCTCACTAAAGGTGAATGACTTGGGGCTGACAGGAAGATGTCTCACCCATGGTTTTGAGATCCTCTGGAACAAAGAAGACTATACAGATCTAATTAATTACTGTGTTTGGTGCATAGAGTAGCATGACAATTTGACCTTGTGCTTTAATGCCCTGCTAAGTGTCTACAAGAGCTCCTTAGTTAAAATGGTTCCTTTCTAATTTTAATTTATGCTGTGTCTGGGCAGCTGAGTGTTTAAGGAGCTGCTGTCAAGCTCTAAATATCTTTGCCTAAGGCTTCGGAGTGACCTGTTCCAGCGACACAGTCATGGAGGGAGCCAGGGTGACTCCTGATTCCCAGTGCCCTTCTGTCATCACCTCCTTCCTTCCTTCCTTCCTTCCTTTCTTCCCCAGAGTTGTCTTTTGTGTATCAGCTCAGGACGGTCACTTTCTGGATTTTTTTTTTTTTTTTTTCCCTGGTTGTCTTTTTCCGTTGTGTCCTTGCTGGGCTAGAAGGCTCACTCTGACTGCCTGGCTTGGTCAGTATCTGCATCAAAAATATTATCATCTTCTGTATCACCTTTGTTATGTCCTGGTTTGGGGACTGGGGATGAGACCTGTCCTACATCTACTTACCAGCTAATTTCTGTGCTTTTTTTTCCCTAGCTCCTAATTCTCCCTTTTCTTTCATCACTTTGAGCCCTGCCAGCTCCCCGAGTTCTCCAGGAGCGGCTGCTACAAAGATGTGTGTGTTCTCCTCTGTAAAACCGGTCCTTGTTTTGTGTTGCTAGGCTACTCCCTTCCAGCTGCCACTGAAGAAATGCTCCGTGGTGGGAAACGGTGGGATCCTGAAAAAGAGCGGCTGCGGCAAACAAATAGATCAAGCAGATTTTGTCATGCGGTAAGACAGAAGCCTCAATGACACATTGTCTCCCCTTCCCCCTGCTAGGTCTCGGACTTCTCGAAGCTATTCAGTGGTCATGAATCAATTATAATTTGCCCTGATTCCCCCTACCTCCCACTCCTTTGCAGAATGCTTTACACAAGTGATTTGCGTAAATGTGTGAGAAGAGGCAAAAAAGAGAGTTTTGACTGGCTTCTGCAAATGGGTGCGTAGTGTGGGCCCAGTCTGCAGTTGGATGGGTTAAGGTTGTGACAGATTGTGCAGTGTCACAGAGAGGGACAGAAGAGCTGTTTTTCTCCTTAATTACGCAGTCTTAGGCAGGGTCTCATCCTGCGATGTGCTCAGTTCTCTGCAAATCTAAATGCTGTCATATGCAACCCATTGAACTCGAGTAGGTATTTATTTATGGGGCAAGGCTTAAGAAGTAAGTTGGAACAAGCTAAAATGTTCCTGTGTTTTCCTTCCCTCAAGATTAATTTCTGGCTGACTGTCTGAGGAAAGGCCAAACTGCTTTCCTCGATGCAGGTTTTTTGGGATTCCTCACATTTCCTTTCCCTCCAGCCTTTCTGAAGTTATAAGAACCTGTCAGGAGGGATGTTGAACCAGCTACTGCTTTCATGATTGAATTTGGCACTTTCTAGGTCTGCATTCTTTAAGGAAGAAAGACAGAAATTAGTTCCTCCCTGTTAAACACGAACAAGAAGAATGTTGTGGGGGAGAAACTGGAGGAATGCTCCCAAAGAGATGAGAAATTAAGTTTCTTTGGGTTTTGAGATGAATGCATAATGAACACCCACTTTAGCAAGTCTCCTTATTAGATCCTGATGGCTTATTATGAAGCCATACAAATTTGCTGTAAACAAAACAGTATTACTGCAATTTCTGGTTTTCATCTCAAAGACCAGAAATATCTTCAGTGTTAAAGCGAAGAAATACAACAAACTAAGGGCAAAAGGAAACGCATACTTAGAGCATTCACTGAAGAGAAGATGTAAGGCACAGGGGGAGAGAGGCAGTGTGCTGACTGCCATTACTGCAGAACTCCTTAGGTGTTCCACAGACTAAATATAAGAAACTGCATGGTATATACTGTGGTAATATTATCTAGATGCAATGTGAAATTGAAATGCCATAGGAGCAATCAGTTACAAAAACAATAGAAACTTTTTTTTTAAAAAAAAACAGCAGTTGTAGCTTGATCAGAAAAATCCTGTTCTCTCCAGGGAGGAGGGTAAAGCAACCATTATCTGTACAGAACTTACTTCGAATTGAAAATAAGTAATAGGGAGAATCCTGCAAAAATCTCAGTAGCTACTTACAGGCTGTATTGTTTTAGTGATGTGCGGTCATATTTATGGAAAATGTTTCAGTTCTTTTGGGTTAGAAACTAATACACCAGTGGGAGAAAATATTTTTGTAGCAGGTGGAAGACAGGATTTAGTTGTTCTTTTGTAAATCTGATTTCTATAATCTGAGAGCTGAGAGAGAAAGAGCACAATAGTGACTTGCATATAATTTTTCATTTTTTTAAAAAGACATTTGTGTGATATCTTAAGTATTTCTGCAGTGTGAAATGTCATGCCGGGTTTTGCCCTTGTTCTTTTCTTCCATTCACGTCGTTTTTGATTATGTGTATTTCCATAAGCTCTGTCATATGACTGTGGCTCTGATATATTGTAATCACTAATTAATGTGTTTAAACTCATCTCGTTGCTGAGCACCTTCTACAAACACAGTTGTACCAATGCAGAAATTAAAAAAGCAGCAGTTTTCAGCCCCTAAGGCATAGCACACTGCATCCACAATGAGAAAGGTGCATGGCATATGGTCTACATGTTTAGGTACTGTGGTTATAATAGGCTGTTCTTCTGATATCTGGCTGATTTTCAAGTTTGTAATCCTTATTTCTAAGAAAAAAATTTTGGTTTGCCCCCCTCCCTTCCTACTAAGACTTATTTTAAGAGAGAATTGTTGGGTACTAAACCCTAAGCGATGTTTTTGTCAGTGTTTTAACAGGAGTCACATTTTTTCGGCATTAGATTTTGAAAAAAATATTTCTACGTCTCACAATTCTTCCTTTCCCCCAACCACTTTCCATGGCTCTGCTGTGGTTTGTACATCTCCCAGAGAGAGGGTTTTTCTCTGTAAAATAGCAAGGGATTTCAGGGACTTCTCCAAGCTGTTTGCTGGTGAAGCAACTTGTCACTATTTCAAGTTGACTAGTGGCTGTCCTGGTTTCGGGAGGCCAAGCTGTTATCTTTTAATCACGCTGTGCTGTGCCATCTAGCCATACCAGCCCAGGTGGAGCTGAGGAGGTTAAATATTGTTGCCCTTTGGAGTTTGTAGACAAGTCCAGAGAAACATGGTTTTAATCTGCCTTATGCAATTATTGTCTTGACATTGGATGGATAATATGGATGTTTGCAATTACTTATTAAATTCATCTTAGTCCTTAGTGTTTAGTATATGTGCATATATAACATTCTAAAATAGCTAGTCACATAGCATCTACCAAATGCACATGCATCAGTCAAGTTGCCTGGATTCTCTGCATCTGCAAGACATGAATTTCTGTCTGGGCCAAAGCCCAAAGACCGATTTCTGCCTGGTGAGGGTTGAAGGATCCCTCTCATTTTACCCTTGCAGCTGTTTCTACCAATTGAATTGGAATGTCTCAGATGTGAGAAAGGCACACGTGGACTGCTGTGCCTGTTGATGGGGTTTTTTCCCACCTAAAGGCTGGGTCTAAGTCATATTGGTGTTCTATATGGAAGACCAGTATGTTCTACTCTTTTAGTTAGGCTCATGTTAAAAGTGCTGGCCTGAAACACTGTCCTGGTATTTCCTTCTTTCCTGCACATTCACGTACTTACTCCTCAGTACCAGGAGCAAGAGCAAGGTAATTAAAAAGAAGTTTCTTAGGATGAGTCTTTTGTTTCTTGGTGTGTTCCTCACCTGCACAACACTAGGTACTTTGCTGACCTGTTCGAGAAAACAATCTGATAAGGAGAAGAAGCTTCTGCCAACCAACTGATTTCTTGCAGAGTTTCCTCTGAATACACAGGCCATTTCTTAGTATTTTGTGCAGAACAAGGTGGGAATGAGACTTACTGATAAAAAGAATTAGATATGTTTAAATAATGCATCTGGGACTGGCTTGTGAAAGAAGTGTCACTATTGAGATGTTAAGATGATAAAAACCAGGGAGAGATCTTCGTCCTTCATAGTGCTTCTAAATAAACTTCAACCAAAAATGCGTTCTTAAAAGCTTGCTCTATGAGTTTGTGTTTATTCAAATCAGAAAGCATTAAACTAATCTGCCAGAGGTCATTTATGCCATCTCTCTGCTCTGAGGCAAATCACCTTTGTGTCTTCCTTCACAAATATTTATATGACCTGCCATTGAAAACTGCTACTGAGAGGGTTTCTACAACCTCTCCAAATAGTATTAATCTGATTAATTTGTATCCTACCTTCCCAGGTGCAGGAAGCAACTTATTGTCACATTTATCTATTTATCTATCTATCTATTAGTTTATTGTATTGAATTGTATTTTATGTAAATCTTTCTCGATTTTTAAGGTTTTATCATTCTTTATGTCTGGGAATTAAACTTCCCCTATGCTTCTAGGCTATCTTTTTTTTTTTTTTTTTTTTTTGGCGGTGATGGCATTTTGTGAAACCACTGATTTTGATTCCTCTTTTCTGGCTTCTTTTTAAGTTGTTTGTCGTCTCTTAAATTGTGGTAGACCAAACTAGAAGCTGTTTCCTAACTGAAATCTCAATACATTGTGCGCATCTTAACAAATGTAGTCATGAAAAGGAGGAAAGGTTTCTGGAAAATTTTTTTTTTTTTTTTGGTGAACATGGTTGGATTAATCTGTGTTCCATATAGGTGGGACTTTGCTGTCCTTCTCCTTGGCATTTCCTGATGATGTGAGTTTAAAAACATGGTTTTGAGAGCTGGTATTTGTGTGCAAACACATGCAAATATAGCACTACTGTGTTTATTTCTTAGGGCATGGGGGACGTTTTACATTAATGAAAATTGTAGAATGTACAATGTGCACACTAGTGCCCTCTCCGGGCACTGACATTGCGGAAAACCATAACACGTGGAGGTGCAGCTGGGAATTCGTACAGCCTTGTTTGCTGCACTCTGCTGTCACAAGTGCCTGGATCCCTTCTCCAAACACTGCAGAGGTCAGTGAAAATGCTAACGGAGGCAGCGACTGCTGTGGAAGCAAGGGCTTTTTTTGTGACGAGACTGATTTTCCCAGTGTGGCGGAAGCGTATGGCAACCTGTAATGCAACAGCCCAAGAGTTTCTGCAGTAGGCCCTGGAAACTGCCGTAAAAACTGAGCCGGAGCTCACTTCCTCAGCTCCCGTCTCTCACTAGTGTAGGAAATGGGCCTCTGAATTATTAAGAGTAAAAATCTGGATAAGCAACTCATTGTTGTTGGACTCGAGGGTTTCATGACTGATGCCAGCTGCCTGGAGGATGCAAGCAGAAGAAGTGGAGTGCTACAGAGAGTTTGATGGAAAAGATGGTGAAAAAAATTACGTAGCTCTTCACAGACGTAAGATGTTGCAGCAAAGGAACATGTATCTCCCTGGTACCGAGAGGAGAAGTCATGAGCATGAAACAATGCCTCTCTGCTCCACTGCCTGCCCTCTTCCAGTGCTGGGGCCTCATCTTCCATGGGGGTGGGTGCCTGCAGAGCTTAAAGCAAGCAGGGACTACTTGATTGCCTTCTTTAGGGTCAGTGTTTGCTCCACATGCACTCTTGGTGGGAGCAGGAGGAGGCAGGAGCTAGCACTCAGCTGTGCCCCTCACCTTTCCTTACCTTGTGTGCTCCTTCTCAGTGCTGCGCTTTTCCAGTGTGCTACAGAAAAACAATGAAACCAACATGGGCAAATGGGGATGTCTTGATTCGATGGTTGAACTTAAAAACTGGAGGGCAAATTTGGTTATGGTAAAGCCCAAAATTTTATTTTTTCTTTTTTCTTCTTTCTTCTTTTTTCTTCTTTTTTCTTTTTTCAAACCCTGACAAAACCTCAAAAACCATAAAAAACTAAAAGTATTTTTTGGAAAAAAATCCAACTTCCACTTGTCTCTGAGAATCCTGGTTTCATTTTTGCATTAAAAATACTGTTCATGTCTTTGATTTTAAAAGTTGGACAAATTTGAAATTAAAAATGTTTTGACACCCATTTTTGTGTCATTTCTGTTTTGGGTAGATTTCTTATGACTTTAATTTTTGGAGCAGTGCATGGGCTTGGATACTGTGTGAATGTATTTTCATCTTTATCTACTGTGCCTTCCTTCTTCTCTTGGTCTTTACTACGGAGCATTTAGGACTGTTCATTGTCTGGAAGTTTCTCTCTACTTCTGTTTTTTGGAGTCTTGGCTCTCTGCTTTCCAAAGTAAATTTGCTTAGTTGCTTTCTCTTTTTATTATGTTATCGCCCTGTCCACCAGAACAAGACTGTGAGCAGAATTGAGATGCACATATTTAAATAGCTACATAAAATTTTTCTCTCTGTTTTCTTGGCGAATTCTGTATGCTGAAGATGCCCTGCAGTGTAATATTACAAATGCCAGTCGCCCATTGTTTGCAAGATGTGTAATGCTTGTAATACCACAGAGTGGTAACAGTCTGGAGCCTGATACTGGTAAACAAGACAGAACAAAGTGAAAAACAGAACTTTAAAAGAATTTGGAAAAAAATGTCTTTGCTATAGATAATAACGGCCTTTTCCACAGCCTTTCAGCCTGTCAGAAATGCCAAACCTGTGTCTTTGTTTTTGCTTAGTAGTTACATAAGATCATCTCTGTAAAAGGTTTTATTTTTACATTTCCCCACAATCTGGTACAAAAATGTCCTATTGTGCTTACAGTTGTGGTACAGTAGGGAACGTTTGTAGATTGGTCTGGTATTTATGCAGCACTCTTACATTTTCTGCAGCTTGCTTTTTTTTTGTTTTTTAAAACCCTGCAAACTCGCAGATTAAAAAAGACTGAGGCTGAAGCCTGTCAATCCTGAATGTCATTTAAAATCTTTACTGTCTTTCTATGCACAGGTGCAACCTTCCTCCTCTATCCAGTGAATACAGCAAGGATGTTGGATCAAAAACCCAGCTGGTGACTGCAAATCCCAGTATAATTCAGAAAAGGTAGAGAGCATATTGTTCCTTCTCTAGTCTGGGGGTAACAAAAAGAAAAATGCTTCATCCATGTTATAGATATTAATGCATCAGAGTTGTGTTCTTAATGATCTTCTAATCCTGGAGAAGAATCTGGAAAAGACAAGATAGGCAATGGTTTGGTATTTGGTGAAATAATTCAAGACTAAACCCCTAATCCTTTCACTGTAAGCAGGAAAACTAAGGGAGTCTGGCTTTTACAGAGTTATTTCTTCTACCATACTCCCCTCAGTGCTTCCAGCTCCCTCCCTTTACCATGCGCTAGGTACGTGCCAGAGGTGCTTTGGCTGCCGCCAAGCCAGGGATGTACTGATGAGTGGCCCAGACTACTCTGCTGGTCAGGCCAGCTGGCTGCTGCATCCCACAGTTAATGAAGATGCTAATTTGAGTTTCTCTTTCTTTACCACTTATAACCTCTGGGTCCTTACTGTCTTCATATTGTTTGTTTGATACTGACTTATGGGTATGAAGTATGAAAGTGCTTAGGATGGAACTGATTGGCAGGTTGTGACCCTAAAAGCCTCGCTTTCATAGGAAACTGAGACAAATTTTTGTTGTTTATTAGAGTTGGTTGAAATTTTCCAAATGTCAGTAGCTGATGAGAGAGGGGAAGTGGAAGGAGGGGGGAAAAAGTCAACACCATCTCTCTGAATTTGCCTTCCTGAATTTTAATTACTATGTTATTTGTTTATCATCCAGAATGAGGTAGGCTGTTCTCAGGCAGAACAAGATCTGGTAGTAACCTGCCATGTTCACTGAAAAACATAGAGAAGAGGCATAAACTAAGGGGAAGAACAGGAAATGATTAGGCATAAAGAAATGTATAATGTGGGTACTGGCAGGTGAAGGATAGTGAAAGGAAGCAAAGCAGGGAAATAAATGAACAATAGAAAGCCAGGTGTTTTAGAAAGAAGAAAGGCACAGACTTGGAAATGGATGTTTGATGGTATTTAAATGTAATATTTTTCCTCTCTATCAGGAATTGAAGGGTTCTTTAGCATTGTGTGCGGAAATGATGACAGTCTTTCTTTGACAAAGTAGAAAAGAGAGGGCGAGTGAGAGAGAAATGGAGTAGTAATCAGCTTCAAGAGCTGATTCCAGGCAGAGAATGTCTGAATAGATGGCACAGAAGTGCTTGTGGGATGAGATCAAAGCAAACCAAGCAGAATTGGCAGAGGATGGCACCAGGTGCCAGGCGAGAAGAGAGAGCTGCTCAGGGCAGTGGACCTGAAGACAGAGAATGTGAAAATCCTGTGGGATATAGATGGCTAATGAGGTTGATTTAAGACGTGGGATGAAACGGCGAGAACATCCCTTCAAGGAAAGAAGGTCAGTTTGACCATGGCATTTTGGCTAAAATGAAGAAGAACAGTGTGAAACGTGAAGCTTATAAAGGATTTTACAGTTGTCAAGGCAGAGGATTATTAAACTCGTGGATATTTATTTTGCATCCTGCCCTCCATCAAGGTCTAGAGTGGAAAGCTCGCTGTACTTAATATTTTTGAACAGAAGAGGAAAAGGAAAAACAGTTTAGTGATGCAACAGGAAGACTACAGAGCTACACTAGAGAGACTGTGAAGTTATCCAGCAAGAAGGAAGGGAAGGAATGAGCAGATGGTTGAAGAAGCAGATGGAGAGAGTGAGACACTACTTTGTGAGAGGGGGATATCACAAGGAGGAGTGGAGGGGGAGGGAAATGGGAGGAAGGAATAGATGGGGAACAGGAAACAGGATTGTGTTCCATGTCAGCTTTCAAAGTGAGTGGACAATAACTGCGATGAGACCTTTGATGAGAAAGTAATGTAGGATATGTATGCATGTGTATTGATTAGGAGGAGATATGCAGCCAGTAACTGAGAATGACACCAAGAACAAATTCGTAGTGCTGAAAATTGGCAGAAATCTCCTCTGAGGCTTGGAACTCCTGAGAGATCTGACACTTTGCTTCCTCTGCCTGTTCAGGAAGAGATTTTTTTTTTAAAGTAATATTTTACTGATGTTTCCTGTATGCTGTCCAAACTTATTATTTTGTCTCTAGTGTGTTAAGTTAGAGTTGGAAAAAAAGGTTAAATCTTGGAAGTTAAAATAGAAAAAAACCCTCCTGTCAACAAATAATTTATATGGAAAGAAGATTTTTAAGGAATTAAGACTGTTTATAAGTCCAAACTTTCATGAAGTTTAAGGATGTTCGGCTTGGTGACTGATATGTATCTGTTTCTAAGCTATAAGTTGATTAGCTTCACATAGTGATACTATTCATTATCATTCTTACCTTCTCCTCTTGTCCTTACTTTAAGTAAGTTGATACTGATGAGGCTTCACATCTCAATTGTCTCTCAAGTGTGTTATGGCAGATTAAGTGAATCGCTCCTGCAACACTATTCATGGCTTCTAAAAGGTTTATCCTTAGAAGATAATTTATGATAAGGCATGCTGGATAAGGCAAAATTTTCATACCAGGGATGTGGAGGCAATTTCTTGTGTTGTTCTAAAACCAGAATTATCGCCTTTAGAAAATTAAATTTTTGTCAGTAATTATTGAAGAGTGATATCTGAGCTATCACTGGTTCTCTCTAGACTTAGCCTTAGGATGGGAGAGTCAAGATTTTAATCTGGGAGTACACTGACTTTAGAGATACCTTCTAAACATTGTCTTTTGTGAAACTTAGAGATCAAGTTCCTACTCTGTTATGATCAGGAAATGTGACTGTGCAGTAGTACAGTTTTCACTTTTAAAATATTGTGCTCAGTTCTCATTTGGGTTTGAAAAATGTTGAGGAATTTCCTACCCTAACTTTGCTTCATACAATACGAGAGTACTGACAATAGACGTATTATGAGAGAAATTTCCCTGGCTGACTAAGAGGACGCATGATGACTGCCCCAGTTTCCTTTTTATATCTAAAATATTTCATGGGGATCTCCCTTCAGTTAATATTGGAACTCGCAGTCCTTCCAGCCTGTGTAAAACTTCTTTTTCCACTTTGTATTCAAAACTTACTTCTCTGTCAAACCCTGATTTGAGGTTGCAATGGGATTGAAATGCTGCATTAAGCTGCTCCTGGGGCCACTGAGACCTGTCGCACCCTCTGCCCCCCAGTACTGTTGAGGGACTGCAAAAAGGTTGGTAACTCTGATGTTTCCCATTCATTCCGCTACCACCCAAGTCAGCTTGGCCTTATCTGTACGGAACCACTTTGTAGGGAGAAGTTTATTCTATATTTGTCCTGGTTTTTATTTTCTTTCCATGACTAGCTACTATAAGTCCCTGCAAGGAAAGAGGTCTCCTCTGCCTCCTCTTTGGTGCCACACAGGTCCCTGACAGTGGGAGCTTTGTGTGCACAGAGGCTGCAGAGCCGGGCTCTGAGGCAGAGCTCTGCTACCCTGTTTGATATCCTCTTCCTCATCAGATAAATCCACTTGGATGAGGACCAGGTCACTCCTGTATGCATTTAGGGCTTTGGAGGTTACCATAATTAGATTCATTATGAAAATTTCTGTGAAATACTTGGTTTATGAGAGACAGGTTGAGGATGTAGGTTATCCGTGTTTCTGCTACTACGGAGTTTCTACTAGAGCATGCCTTGTTGCTTTGAATACAGAAATAAGTAAAGGGTTAGTTGAGGTGGTATCAGTCTTCATTCTTCAAAATGTGGGTATTTTTATTTAAGTCTTTATAGTGGAGTCTCTTGACAGCTGTATAACATTGCCAATGGAAATAGTCTGATTGAAACTTGGATAACCAGATTTAGGATCAGCCATTACACTTTGCGGCTCAGTATGAACTTCCATCACTGAATGTGAACGTTTTTTTTCAGTAAATTGATTCACTTTTTTGTGTCTCTGCAATGTTTGACACGTTTTTGCTGCATCCAGTTTCCTGCACTAAAGCAAGATGAAGGGATGAGACTAAAGGCTAATAAATGCAATGGTTCTGCCTCTGAGCTTTGAAATGTCAGTTAAATATCGCTGGTGTTTATTAGGTTCCCACAAAATTTGAGTGGGATTAAATTTGCTTTCCAGTTCTCCCTGCATCTTACAGCCAACTAATAATCTTTCCTGGATTCAGTCCTGAGCACATCTTTGAATCCAATTGACTTAAGCTGTTAAGAATAAAAAGATGGAACTGAGGCAATTATTTAATTTGATAAAAGCTTCCTTCATCTTTGATTAAACAAGTGTACAGTATTCAGCCTGTTGCTGACACTCATGAAAGTGGTACATGAGAATTCCTCTTGACTATGTCTCCATGTAAAAACTATATATTCTATTCCTAGGTAGTTACATTTTAATTTGGTAATTGCAAAAGATCAGAAAAAGAAAGAAAAAATCTATCCATAAAATAATTATTGAAGGAAAACCCCTCTTGCTCATCTTGTCCTTTGTTTAGGAGTCAGGTGATGAGCTGTTTCCTCGTAAAGTCATTTACTCACCAGATTTGAAATATTTCACATAGAGGTTCTTCTTTCATTCCTGGTATCTGAATATATCTCAGATTATTTAATTGAGAAGTACTCCAAAGTGATAAGAATTATTGTTTTCATTCACATTGCAAAACTGCCATTTTATGTTCTTCTGCAATAGTCGATGAACGTGTACGCCAACAGCAAGGGGATAAAATTTCTGGGAAGCACTTATTTAGAGGCAAGACTATAATAAACCTTTCTGTATATGGAGGTTGCTTGGAGCCCCATTTGTTTGTAATCAGTCTTTTCTCTCCTCTAATACAAAATTCCTTTTAAAAGCTTTAAATTTATTAACAACTGAACCCTTAGTTTTTCTGTGTGAGGAGCACCTATTTTTGTCCTCATTTGAACAGAAAAGGAAGCGAAAATGCAGTGATGGAGAGGACTGGCCAGTGTCACCACCAGGCCAAAGGCAGAGCCTGCAAAAAAGTCCAGAATTTCTGATTGGCTTCTGTGATTTATTAGCTGATAAACAGAAGTATGTGGTGTTGCAACAAAGCCATG